CTGAGTTCTATATAGATTCTAGCTGTCAGTCCTTTATCAGATGTGTAACATGCAAATATTTTTCTCCCATTATGTAGGTTGTCTGTTTGTCTCATGATAGTTTTCTTGCAGTGCAAAGCTTTTAATTTGATCAGGTCCCATGTATTACTTGTGTTGTTTCCATGATTGCTTTGGGGTCTTCTTCATAAATTCTTTGCCTAGCCAATGTTTGTAAGAGGTTTTCCAACATTTTCTTTAGAATTTTTATTTCATGCCTTAAGTTTAAATCTGTTATCACTGTACATTGATTATTGTGAAGGGGAAGAGGTGTGGATCCTGTTTCAGTCTTTCACACTTGCTATCCAATTTTCCAGCAACATTTATTGAATAAGGATTCTTTTCATGTTTTGTCTGCTTTGTCAAAGATCAGATAGCTATATGAGGATGGTTTTATAACTGGATTCTCAGTCCTGTTCCATTCCATTGGTCTATGTCTCTGTTCTTAGGCAATACAATGCTGTTTTGGTTACTATAGTTTGTAGTATAGCTTGAAGTCTGGAAGTTGATCCTCTCAATTTGTTCTTTTTGCTTAAGATTGCTTTTGCTAAATGGGTCTCTTGGTTCCATATCTAGAATCAGTGAAACCGATGTTCGGTATTTTTAATAGAGATTGCATTGAATCTGTAGATCACTTTGGATATATAGACATTTTAACAATGTTGATTTGCTGCCCACGGCATGGTGTTGTTTTTCCACTTGTTTACGTCCTCTGCTATTTCTCTCCTCAGTGTTTCATAATTCTCCCTGTAGAGGTATTTCACCTCTTTAGTTAAATATAGTCCTAGGTGTGTTATCTCTTTGTTGCTATTGAAGGTATTTGAACTTTATTTGTTCCCAGTTTGACTGTTGTTGGCATATATTAATGCTATTGATTTGTGTGCATTGATTTGTAACTTGAGACTTTGCTGAATTTATCAATCCCAGTAGTCTTTTCCTTGTGTTATGTGCTGTAACTCTCATCTGTTTTTTAGATTGTTCTTGGAAGTGGCCAAGTACCATACTGTGCTGTGCTCTTCCTCCTGGTTTGGTGACTCTGGCCTTGACCCCAAGGTTCCCCTGCTCTTCCTACAAATAACTGCTGACCTACTCCATCCAGGCTCTCTGGCTCTGAATTTGGAAGAACATTTCCCCCTTCCATTCCACACCATATATACACTTTTAAAAAAATTAATCTCTCTTCGCTCCAGGTCAGGAGTTCGAAACAGCCTGAGCAAGAGTGAGATCCCCTTCTCCACTAAAATTAGAAAGACATTAGCTGGCAACTAAAAATATATAGAAAAATTAGCTGAGCATGGTGGTGCATGCCTGTAGTCCCAGCTATTCAGGAGGCTGAGGCAGGAGGATTACTTGAGCCCAGGAGTTTGAGGTTGCTGTAGCTAGGCTGATGCACAGCACTCTAGCCTGGTCAACAGAGCAAGACTCTGTCTCAAAAAAAAAAAAAAAAAAAAAAAAAAAAGAAAGGAAAAAGAAAACACAGAATTGGATCTATGTATCAGGAACATGAAGAATAACATAAATCTGACAAACATCACCCTTAACCTACTATAAAATCTTCACTAAAGCCATGTTTAACTTTATACTTTACAGGGACTGAAGAGGAAGATGAAGGAGATGACCTTTTGTTGCGGTCCGTGGATGAGTTCTGGTGGTTTCCTCACATGTGGAGCCACATGCAGCCCCACCTCTTCCACAATGAGTCATCTTTGGTGGAGCAGATGATTCTCAACAAGGAATTTGCACTGGTGAGCACATTTTAGAGTGGCATTTTTTCAACTGTGGCTTGTGATCTAGTAGTGGATTATAAAATCAGTTTATTGGGTTGGCTCCGATAGAAATAGAATAGAACAGGTGGGGTGCAGTGGCTCACACCTGTAATCCTAGCACTCTGGGAGGCAGAGGAAGGAGGATTGCTTGAGGTCAGGAGTTTGAGACCAGCCTGAGCAAGTGTGAAACCCCATCTCCACTAAAAATAGAAAAAATAGCTGGGCATGGTGGCACATGCCTGTAGTCCCAGCTACTCAGGGGGCTGAGGCAAGAGGATTGCTTGAGTCCAGGAGTTTGAAATTGCAATGAGCTATGATGGCACCACTACACTCCAGCCAGGGCAACAGAGTAAGACTCTGTGGAAGAAGAAGAAGAAGAAGAAGAAGAAGAAGAAGAAGAAGAAGAGAAGGAGAAGGAGAAGAGAAGGAAGGAGAAGGAGGAAGGAGAAGGAGAAGGAGAAGGAGAAGAGAAGAAGAGGAGGAGGAGAGGAGAAGGGAAGGAGAAGAAGAAGAGAAGAAGAGGAGGAGGCAGGAGGAGAGAAGAGAGAGGAAGGGAGGAGAGGAGGGAAGGACGGAGGGGAGAAGGAGGGAGGGAGGGAGGAGGAGGGAAGAGGAAGGAAGGAAGGAAGGAAGGAAGGAAGGAAGGAAGGAAGGAAGGAAGGAAGGAAGGAAGGAAGGAAGGAAGGAAGGAAAAAAGAAATAGAACAGAATATCAGGATGCATCATATGTATTAAGGGCACATATTGCTTTGTGATATTTTGTTTCAGGCATGTGTGTATATACATATGATCATGATGTAAGAATTACATGTATGCACTATAATACATAATATATATATACAAAATATTTCAAAAAGTAAGTCATTTTCAGAGAGTTGCCATCCTCTATTTAAAAAAAAAGATTATTCTTATGCTTATACGGAGAAAAATGGTACTTTGTTCATTGTATTCCTGGTGAAAGTATAATAACCTCTCAAAAATTATTGTTGCAAGAATGAAGGTAATGGATGGATGAATTGAATCTTTAGAACAATGACTCTAGACCAGTGGCTCTCTCAAGCTTCAGTGTGTATCCATTTCACCTAGAAGCACTTTCGCTCTCCCCCCCAGAGTGTCCCGTTCACGGGATCTGCAGAGAGGACTGATAATTAGCTATTTTCAAACGCTTCCCGGGTGATGTCATGGTGCTGGGACTACCCTCTTGATAATCGCTTGCTGTGAACAAAGTTCTCTGTATGCCACTCTTTTCCTCCCGCCTTGGCTTCCCAGAGTGTTAGGATTATAGAGGTGAGCCAACGCCCCACCTCAATTTGGTGTTTTCTTAATCAGAGATAAAAGACCACAGTCTAAATTACATCAGAAGTGAGGGGTTGGGGATTGGATTGGGGTAGGGCAGACATGGTTGGCCCCAGGTCAGACAACTGTATAATTTAGAACTTAGGGGTATTGTTTAGAATTGTTAACACATGGTGCTAATAAAAGGCAGACCTACTTTTAGATGATTTATTTATGATTCTAAAATGATCAACAGACAAATTATCAAATTATTTTCTTTATTGCACACGGGAAACCTGATTAGAGAGCATATATCTTTTTACTCTTAAGAGTTTTGCTTTATAGAAATCTAAAATTGAGCTTAAAACTTACTGATACAATTTGTTAATTTTTTTCTGATTATAGAAATACTATATGGCTCTTAAAGAAACGTGGAAATCACAGGCAAGTAATATAGAAAGTCAAAAAACTAAAACAAAAGCAAAATCCACCTACAAGGCCATCTTCTAGACATAAACAGTAGCGACATGTATATCTTTCTTTAAAATATTTTTCTACTTATTTTTTAAAAAGTTGAGCTCTTACTGTGCAAATACTTTTGCATCCTTATGTTTTAACTTAACAGTGTATACCTAAACACTTCCCATTTTAATACAAATATTTCACAAAAGTTAAACAATGAATCTAAGGCTCTTGGTTGCAAAGACTTTAAAGAAATAGCAGTCTCGCAACACAGTATTCCATCGGGCATCATAACTGATTATTTTAAGATGGGGGGGGTCAAAGGGTAGCCCAGCCCATGGCATCACCGGGAACGTTTTGACAAACTACTAACTTATCAGCTCCTGCTCTGCAGATCAGTGAAGCGGGAACCTTGGGGGGAGGGGTGAAAGTCTTCTAAGGTGAAGATGGATACACACATGAAGCTAGCAGAGGCAACTGGATCATAAAGATACATCTGTTCTAAAAGATTAATTCATCATCCATGCTTACCTTCATTCTGCACAATATTTTTAGAGGTTTACTTCCCTACCGCACCGGAATACAATGGACAAAAGTACCATCCTTTCTATCCCGTCTTACACCCCATCAAGAATAAATATCATTTATTTTATTTAAATGAGGAATGGGCAACTCTCTGCAATGACTTAACGTTTTATGAAAAATATAATTTTATATAAAATATATATAGTATTATTGCATCACACGTATTTTAAACAATCATAACACCACATCATATGTAATTACACTGCCTGAAAAAAATCAACAAAGCAATATGTGCCTTATACACTAATGAACTAGCAATCTGATATCTGTATCTATTTTTCCTTCCTTCCTTCGATTCCTTCCTTCCTTCCTTGCTATACCTTCCATATCCCATTCCCTCTATCTCACTCTCCTTATCTCCTTCACTACATATACCTCCCCATACAAACACAACTCCATACATCTTCTGCCCTCCCTACATAATACATAACAATATACTTACATACATAAACCTCCTATCCTCCTCACTCATTCTTCTCATCTTCTTCATCATAAATAACATCCTCAAATAACAATCCTCCTCGCTCTCCGTCTCCTCTTCTTCTTCCTTTCTCCTTCTCTCTCTCCTTCTCCTTCTCCTCTCTTCCTTCTCTTCTCCTTCTCCTTCTCCTTCATCTTCTCTCTCTCCTTCTCCGTTCTCTTTCATTCTTCTTCTTCTTCTTCTTCTTGCTTCTCTCTCTTCTTCCCAAGAGGTCTTACTCTGTTGCCGCTGGCCTGGAGTGTAGTGGTGCGCATCTAGCTCAGTTGCAAATTTTCAACTCTGGACTCAGCAATCCACCCCCCTGGCCTCGCGCGCCCTGAGTAGCTGGAACTACAGGCAATCGTGCACCGATGCCGCTATTTTTTTCTATTTTTAGTGGAGATGCGGGTTTCCACATTGCTCAAGGCTCGGTCCTCAAACTCTGACCCAAGCAATCCTCCTTCCCTCAGGCTCCCAGAGTGCTAGGAATCCAAGTGTGAGCCACTGCACCCGCCTGTTCTAAGTTCTATTTGCTCATCCGAGCACAGACCAATACAACTGATTTTAATAATCACTACTAGATCCACAAGCCACAGTTTGAAAAACATGCCACTCTACGAATGTGCTCACCAGTGCAATTCCTTGTTGAGAATCATCTTGCTCCACCGAAAGATGCACTGCATTGGTGGAAGAGGTGGGGCTGCATGTCGGCCGACATGTGAGGAAACCACAGAATGCATCCACGCGACGCGCAACAAAGAGTCATGCTTCCTTACATCTTCGCTCTTCAGCTCTGTAAGTAAAATAAGTTTAAACATGGTTTAGTGAAGATTTTATAGTAGGTTAAACGGCGCCTGATATTTGTCAGATTTATGTTATCTTCATGTTCGCTGATACACTAGATCCCCAATCTCCTGTGTTCATTTTTCTTCTTTTCTTTTCTAATCTTTTTTTTTTTTTTTTTTTTTTTGGAGACAGAGTCCTTGCTCTGTTTGACGGGCTAGAGTGCTGTGGCAGATCAGCCTAGTTCACAGCAACCTCAAGACTGCCTGGGCTCGAAGTAATCCTCCTGCTCAGACCTCCTGAATAGCTGGACTACAGGCATGCACCACCATGCTCAGCTAATTTTTCTATATATTTTTAGTTGTCAGCTTAATGTCTTTTCCTAATTTTACCGTGGAGAAGGGGATTCACTCTTTGCTGCAGGCCTGGTCTCGAACTCCTTGACCTCGAGCAATCCTCGTGCTTTTGGTTGGCAGATGGGTTGATGTAAATTAATTATCTGAAATGTTTGCAGTTCAGAAAATGAAAAAGGGAGTCATTACCATTTTGAGGGAGAAAAGCAAGGCATAAAGACATTAAATAAGTTGCCAACTTTATCAGAACTTGTTACTAGCAGTTAGGACTAAGATTTAGCCTGCCAATATCTCATTTAGTGATTTCCACGATCCTCTCCTATCTTGATACTGTTGATGGCTTCAAAGTGTCACCTGGATGTGAAAAGATAATAATTTAATAAGAAAGAGATATATTTCTTGGCTCTCTGGCCAGCACACATATTGGCATGTCATGTTGACAGTAAAGGTGGTGTTCTGAATGTCATTGCTTGAAGAGTCTTGAGTTTTATTGAGCTGAACTCCAGAAGGAAAAGGACAGTGTCATTTCTGTATGTGTGCTTAACGGGATTCATTTTAGTTGTGATATTTTGACTATGCAAAAGATAATAAGACCTTTTTTGACAAAATATATTTATAGGCATAAGTCTAGCTTCCAGCCACACTGACTAAACAAATGTAATTGCTCTGAATGGACTCTAAATAGCTTTCAACATTTCATTACAAAGCAATTACATCTGGGTCTTTCCCAGAGCTCTCAGCATGCCTTTTAAGAAAGAAATTACACAAACAGGTGAAATCAACCATTATGAAATATAACCTATATGCCTAAAAAGCAAGGCTTCATAGTGGAAGTGAAGTGGAGTAGGAGGTTTAAACCAGGTGATAAACACGTTTTGTTTTCGCGTTAACTGCATTGAAAGAATTTAGCATGCTTACTCAAGACAAGTTTACTTTTGAAAAGGGAAATATTTATTTAATTTTATAATGTTATGAAACAGTACAAAATTGATTAGATATTCCCTAAAGTTTAAGTAAAAACAACCTCTTGTAAATTCGTATTTTTTAAAAAATTGACTTATTAAAAGCAAGATGTAACTGCATATTTGTTTGTATTTACAAAGGTCACAATCAATGAATTCACACCTAATGGATGCTTACTGTGTGCCAGCCATTGCTCTAAGCGCATTAAATGTAGCCTCACAGCAAGCCTATGAGGTAGTCATTACTATTATCTGCCTTTTTACAGATGGGGAAACCGAGGACAGAGAATCTAAGTGATTTAAGATCAAGACATTGATGGAAGGTGAGGATTCGAACACAGGTATTCCAGTGCCTGAGTCCATGATCTAATTGCCGTTTATGCTGTCTACGCTGACTGCTAAGAGTCCTGTGAGTAGGTCTGACATGGGTCTGGGGGTTTAGAGAAAGGGCGAGCGATTGGCATCATAACCAGCATGGCTTTATAAAATACCCTAGTATTCATTTGGCCCTAAGGCTCTGGTTCATAAGGAAACTTTAAAGAAATGAAGCTATCTGCAGCCACAGTATTCATGCATCATTAACTGTTTATTTTAAGATGGGGGTTTCTAACTGGGGCTCAGGGTCTTTAGGGGAGAGTGAAGATGTGACAATGTGCACCTGAGCATTTTTCTTGGGGAAAGTTTTCTGCCTTTTGTTAGATTCTTTAAGGAATACGAGACTTAAAATAAGGTCCGCAGCAGGCAGGGATGGGAAAATTTTTTCAGCAAAGTTCCAGATAGAAATATTTTGGGTTGTGTGGGCCATCTGGTCTGTTTTGCAACCGCTCAGCTCTGCGGTTGCAGCGAGAAAGCAATCGCGAGTGATGTGTGAAGGGATGAGTGTGGCCGTGTTCCAATAAAACTTTATTTAGGGACTTCGCAATTTGAATTGTATACAATTGTTATGTGTCACAAAATACTATTGCTCCTTTGCTTTTCCATTATTAAAAAAAATGTTTGAACAAACTTTCTTAGCTCAGGGATCATAAAACAACAATCAGCAGCCCAGATTTGGTGCATAGGGTCATAACAAGAGAACCCTTTGTTCACAGCAAGCGATTATCAAAGGGTAGTCCCAGCACCATGGGCATCACCTGGGAACGTTTTGAAAATACTAATTATCAGTCCTCTCTGCAGATCCAGTGAACGGGACACTCTGGGGGGGAGGGGTGAAAGTCTTCTAGGTGAAATGGATACACACTGAAGCTAGAGAGCCACTGGTCTAGAGTCATTGTTCTAAAGATTCAATTCATCCATCCATTACCTTCATTCTTGCAACAAATAATTTTTGAGAGGTTAATTATATTGCACCAGGAATACAATGAACAAAGTACCGTTTTTATCTGTATAAACATAAGAATAATCTTTTTTTTTTAAATAGAGGATGGCAACTCTCTGAAAATGACTTACTTTTTGAAATATATTTTATATATATATTATGTATTATATGCATACACGTAATTTTACATCATGACCTCATATGTATATACACACATGCCTGAAACAAAAATCAACAAAAATACGCAATATGTGCCCTTAAACATAATATTGCATCCTGATATTCTGTTCTATTTCTTTTTTCCTTCCTTTCCTCCTCTTCTTCCTTCCTTCCTTCCTTCCTTCCTTCTCCTTCCTTCCTTCTCTTCCTTCCTTCCTTCTCCTCCTTCCCTCCCTCCCTCCCTCCCTTCCTCCTGCTTCCTCCCTCCCTCCTTCCTTCTCTTCTCTCCTCCTCCTCCTCTCTTCTTCTTTCTTCTCCTCTCTTCTCTCCTCCTCTCTCCTCTTCTTCTCTTCTCCTTTCTCCTTCTCCTTCTCTTCCTCCTTCCTTCTCCTTCCTTCCCTTCTCCTTCTCTTCTTCTTTCTTCTTCTTCTTCTTCTTTTCTTCTCTCTTCTTCACAGAGTCTTACTTGTTGCCCTGGCTTGGAGTGTAGTGGTGCCATCATAGCTCATTGCAATTTCAAACTCCTGGACTCAAGCAATCCTCTTGCCTCAGCCCCCTGAGTAGCTGGGACTAACAAGCATGTGCCACCATGCCAGCTATTTTTTTCTATTTTTAGTGGAGATGGGGTTTCACACTTGCTCAGGTTGGTCTCAAACTCCTGACTCACAGCATTCCTCCTTCCTTTGCCTCCCAGAGTGCTAGGATTACAGGTGTGAGCCACTGCACCCCACCTGTTCTATTCTATTTCTATCGGAGCCAACCCAATAAACTGATTTATAATCCACTACTAGAATCCAAGCACCAGTTGAAAAATGCACTTAAAATGTGCTCACCAGTGCAAACCTTTTGACGAAATCATTGCCTACAAAGATGACTCATTGTGGAAGAGGTGGGGTTGCATGTGGCTCCACATGTGAGGAAACCACCAGAACTCATCCACGGACCGCAACAAAAGGTCATCTCCTTCATCTTCCTCTTCAGTCCCTGTAAAGTATAAAGTTAAACATGGCTTTAGTGAAGATTTTATAGTAGGTTAAGGGTGATGTTTGTCAGATTATTTTTATTCTTCATGTCCTGATACATAGATCCAATTCTGTTTTTCTTTCCTTCTTTTTTTTTTTTTTTTTTTTTTGAGACAGAGTCTTGCTCTGTTGACCGGGCTAGAGTGCTGTGGCATCAGCCTAGCTCACAGCAACCTCAAACTCCTGGGCTCAAGTAATCCTCCTGCCTCAGCCTCCTGAATAGCTGGGACTACAGGCATGCACCACCATGCTCAGCTAATTTTTTCTATATATTTTTAGTTGTCCAGCTAATGTCTTTCTAATTTTAGTGGAGAAGGGGATCTCACTCTTGCTCAGGCTGGTCTCGAACTCCTGACCTGGAGCGAACCTCCCGCCTTGGCTTCCCAGAGTGTTAGGATTATAGAGGTGAGCCAACGCCCCACCTCAATTTGGTGTTTCTTAATCAAGAGATAAAAGACCACAGTCTAAATTACATCAGAAGCGAGGGGTTGGGATTGGATTGGGGTAGGGCAGACATGGTTGGCCCAGTCAGACAACTGTATAATTTAGAACTTTGGGGTATGTTTAGAATTGTTTAACACATGGTGCTAATAAAAGGCAGACCTACTTTTAGATGATTTTTTATGATTCTAAAATGATCAACAGACAAATTATCAAATTATTTCTTTATTGCACACGGGAACCTGATTAGAGAGCATATATCTTTTTACTCTAAGAGTTTGCTTTATAGAAATCTAAAATTGAGCTTAAACTTACTGATACAATTTTTAATTTTTTCTGATTATAGAAATACTATATGGCTCTTAAAGAAACGTGGAAATCACAGGCAAGTTATATAGAAAGTCAAAAACTAAAACAAAAGCAAACCACCTACAAGGCCATCTCTAGACATAAACAGTAGCGAACATGTATATCTTCTTTAAATATTTCTACTTATTTTTTAAAAAGTGAGCTCCTTACTGGTGCAAATACTTTTGCATCCTTATGTTTTAACTTAACAGTGTATACCTAAACACTTCCCATTTTAATACAAATATTTCACAAAAGTTAAACAATGAATCATATAACTTTATAATATAAACCTGACTTGAGAGTTTGAAACTAATATTCCTTTCTCTTCCTTTATTGGGAAAAATTTTTAACAGTGCTCAATGCATACGAAATACCATGTTAATGCCACAAGTAAAAAACAATAAGAAAATAAAATAACAACAACAACAACAAATTACTTCTAAGGGAATTCATTATGTTGCAGCTGTCCAAGAATATCGTCCCTGTATGAAATCATATAGTTTTTATACCAATTTACAATATTCAGTTCAATTTAAAAATGTTCTGAATCAATAATATAAGAATTAACTCCTATATGGTCTCTAAATACTTAACTACATAAGTAAAGTAAAATAACAAGCCCTGGCTTATAGTGTGGGGTATATTTATTTAGTTTATTTTTTTCATAATAGAGTATGTTTTCAAGGTGGTGCTTTATTTTTGTATTTTTTCCTGAAATTAAGGGAATAAATATTAAATACCTTTTTTAGGGTTTTCTCAGAATGTTCCCTTTATGTGTCCTATACTAAAGATTTTCTTGATCATGAAAGCAGTGCCATGAAATGATTAAAGCATATATTTAATGTCACCTAATATCTTGAGCACAGCTCCGAGTTTTGCCACTTCCAATTAACTCTGTGTTCTTGGACTAGTTAACGTCTCTTGAGTATCAGTTTCATGGTTTAAAATGGGAATATAAATATTTATCTCATAAGGTCTTAGTGAAGAATCAATGAGATCAATTTATTAGAGTGCTTAATATTGTCATTTGTGAATAGTAAGCACTTTTTGACTATTTAGGATCTCCCTCTTAAAAATAATATCTACTGGTTTATACTTGCTGCATTTTGAATTTATATGTTTTCACACATTCTTAGTAACTTTGTCTGCCTAGATTATAAATTTCTTAAACTCAGGGACCAGATCCTTTTACCTTGCACTGTAACTTGCCATTTCCCCGGAGCAGTGAATAGATGAATAATTTAATTCAGTCTTTACTAACAAAGCCAGTGAACTGCAACAGTTTCATAAGGCCACTGAAGTGTACGCCACCTTGTGTTTCTTTTTATGTACATTTTTTTGTTGCTGCTATACAGTCCATAACCATAGTCCTCAAAAGGTATAAGGACCACCAAGTTTAATTCGGATTTATGCACCATGAATGCTATTATACGAAGTAAAGAAATAAGAAATTTTGAAAGTGATAAAGCTCTATGAATAAAATGAGCAGACAGAATTCTTAACTTTTGTTGAGGTTAGCTCAAATTGTTAGTATTACAAACTTATAACTCATTGACTTTTGTTAATGCATGAAGAATATCAAATATTGAAGTCCAGATGAAGAAGAGTTAATTACTTTCTGCAATGAAGTGTTGATGCTACAGAAATTTCTCAGGGCCAGAATTTAGCAAATGGAGACAGAGATTGGAAAGAGTTACTACATGTCACATATGATAAAGGAGTTGATAGTTCCCTCATCCTCCTGGAATTATCCTGTTGTGCTTTGAATATGGAATGTTTCAGGAATGCTTCCACTCACTTTAAACTCTGCAGATCCTAACTGCAAGTGGCAGGAAACACATAACGCATACTTGACCAGAAAGGAGGTCAATTATTCAATTTAAAGAAAAATTTGCAGACTATTGATATAAACAGATGCATGACTGATCATAACATTTCAGTAATTTTTATGTCAGAGATTATGTTAATTTATAAACACTCTACACGAGGTTGAGAGTGACATTTAAAATCTCTCCCCTTTTTTTTTTTTTGTAACATCATGGATTAATTTCTGTCAGCCTTTCTCTTATTTTATGCTTGCCATATAATTCAAACATACAAGAGGCAGACCCTTGACACTGGAAATAGCTTAATAAAAAATATGATACTAAGTCATGCTGAGGGACAACAGCAGAATTACAAATGTTTTAAAACTCAACTAAATGAAAATATTAAATGTTTGGCATTGTAATAGTACATAATATACAGCATGTATTTTTCTATACCTAATGTATGCTTAAATTATGTGTGGAAATACAAGTTGCAGTTCATATGTGACCATATTAACACAAGTTTTAGACCATTCAAATATCTGTGTTCAAATTGATCCTTTCATTTCTAACCTGATCTAGACTCTAGATAATTGTTCATGAAAAACAAGTGCATTTGGTGCTTATTTAAAAATGATATTCTTTTAATTTTTCTGATTTCCAGTGAATAAAAAGCATGTTCATTCAGAAATAAAATATATGAAGAGTACATTCTTTTGTTATAACTTTTAGAGGTCTGTATTTTGAGATAATAGCATGCTTTTAAAAGTTCTTTAAGTCTACCAAAGTAAGAATAACTTTAGCAAAATCTGGACTATAGGTTAATTTCCTTAAAGATATAGTCATAACATTAAAATAATTTTCGTAAAACTTCAGTGTCTGCATTATCTGTTTTGTATAAATTTCTGCCTCTTATTTGCTCATCTGTGTGAAATATTGCAATTCCTAAATAGTAAGAAAACATCACCTAATTTTCTTTGTACAGTGATTTCTTTGTAAACCTAATTTTCTTTGTACACATTGTTCCATGTGGGTGAGTATAGAATAAACTAACTTTAAATATTATACTAAATAAAAAGAACTGTGCAATGATAAATTAGAAAACAGAGCCATGTAGATTGTCTACTGTTTACTTTTTTTGATAACATTTGATTCTTATTCAAAAATACTTTTAAAATCAATATTAATAATAAACACTTACATAGCACTGACAACAAGCTAGGCATTGGTCCAGATGAGAGAGAGCCTTATTGTTACCCCCATTTTGTAGGCGGAAAAACTGAGGCACACAAGTTTAAGTAATCTGTTTGTGTTCCCAGAGCTAGTAAAATGTTAGTCTGTAATTGAACACAGTTTGTTTCCAGTTTCTAGTCTTTTAATTAATACTTGGTACAGAAAAGCAAAGTAAATAAAAGATAACCAAAGGAGGAAGAATGTAACACTTTTCTTAACGTTCTTAACATGTTTGAAAGTAAATGACTCTATAGAAAATGCTATTTTTGGTAAAACAAACTCTCATGGAAAAGACCAATGTTAATTCAATTTGCAAACATTATTCATGAATTAATTATTGATTGGGTCATATTCACTTACAAAGAACAGCAACGATTGTCACCAGAAATCACATCCCATGAAAAATAAAACGTGTAGCCCCTCTTCCTTAGAAAGCGTCTTAATGCTACACTGTCTCCATTTTTCAACTGAGTTTTCATTGTACAATTCCAATCAAGCTGTATTTCCAGACTAAAATATTTCACTCTAAACTGCATGCTTTTATTTTTTTCTTTTTAATCATCACTGCGTCCTTCCCCTTTCAATTTGCCACCCGTGGGTGGGTGAATGACTTTTAGGGAAGGCTTAGAGCTGTGCCCTTTCGGTGTGAGATTGTTTTTAGCATGTGAAGAGCAGAGAAGCTGAACAGGAAAGAATACATGAGACATATAAATAAGTGAAGCAGTCTAAGAAATGCAGGATCAATCATTATTACACTGGGCATACGTGATTAAATGTCTCCAAAGCAATGGGGTTCATCAATCAGCATCCTCGTGCATTGGAAAAATCAGATCATCCTGGGAGAACTGAGACAGCCATGGCGACACGGCCACCTCCTCATGGTGGCACGTCACAGCAAGTGAACTAGTACGGAAGGCACTTCCTTGAGTTGCAAGGTTTTTTTGTTTTTTTTTTTTTCTGTAATGTAAAATCTCCATATAGAAATGTGACTGAATAGGGGCGAGGCGTGTTTTTCTGATAGTGAGTGTCACTAACGTGTAACTCAGCTCTGCAAGAAACCTTGATACCCCACCCCTCAGTGCATTAATAAGTATTCAACATGATATGGTTACACCCTTGAAATACGTTACAGATGCACTTCAATGGTCCTACAGATAAAGTAAGTGTATCAATTAAATAAAAGTTACATGTGTATGTGAGGGAAACAAAACTTCCAGAATTTACATTTGTACATATTTTGCTTATTCTCCAACTCAGCATTGCATAGTGTTCCTGCCATTATCGTGTTAGGCTAGTTCCAACACAGAGAATCAATAAGGTCTGTTTAAGAGATATAGTTCAAAATATGTCTCTTTTATTTTTTCTATCTTCCTTCAATAACTGCGCCTGTGATATTGACTAGGGGGCCGCTCCTTTCCTAGTGAATGTGTACTGTGCACATGTTCAAAATTTTAAAGAAGAAATAGGAAGTGTTATAACCTCTACCAACATTAACTTTGCAAATGTCTGGCCGGTTTAATAGATCTGAGTATGAAAAGTAAATAAAAACGAAAGCAGTTATCCAGATATATTTCAGCCAAAAGAATGGCTTTACTTTACTGTATAGCTATTTAAGACAAAGTAATATTATTTGTGTGTGAACTTCAAATAATCCCATAATTTTTCCCCCTGCATGAGTAGATAGGCCTTTATAGTTTTCTGCTTTATAACTTCATAGTCAGAGCATCTTAGGCCTGAACTCATTTCTTGAGGGGACTTTTGAAGAAGATTTTCAAATTGCAAGCTGGAGAATTGCTATCCCTGTGCGGATACGATGACCCAAATCTCTTTCTGCAAAACGTCCTTTCAAAATATGCAATCATTTGATTCGTCACGTGGTCTAAATACTAATTTTCCTTCTGTTACTTTAAGCAGATTTACATGTTTCAAAGGAGGAGAAGAAAAGCATCAAAGAAAAGCCAATAAAACATTGCTACTTCAATATTCTAATAAACCATGCTGAGCTTTTACATTAAAAAGCCTCTTTGAGTAAACAAGCTGCATTTATGATAATTAAAGATTACCTCTGCATAGGCTATTTTTAATGAGCCAGGAAATTGCGTACATGCATAGAGAATACTGTGAAGTGTTTACACTCAGATGCTATGAAGAAACAACAGCGCAAAGTTCTAAACAAAGCATTTAGCTCAGAGCATAAACGCACAAATAGGAGCAGGCTGTGGCTATTCTCCTAATGCAGGCCCCAACTCACAGCTTTGTACTATGTTTGTCATCATTGTAAGAGAATCAATTTTATGAACATAGTTCTTGAGTAGCGCCAGACATTAGAATGCTAGTATTCAGAAGATAAAAGTCAAAATCTTGAGGTGAGAATGGATGAAGAAGTCATGGACAGAGTCATGCATGCACACCAATCACATTTCGAGAATTTTCTGGGAGGCTGACACTGACCAGAGGTGCAACTGTGGCTGCTGGATAGAGACTGAAAGAAACACAAACCTGATTTTGATGCTTTGAATATAAATGGAGCCAAATTAGCAATAACATTTTTAAGGGACAATCCTGCAAGGGAAGGTAAAGTAACAAGGTGACCCTTAGGGTCTATTAAATTTCTTTCAGGCTACAACGTATCTCTCCCATCGCCAGATGATTTCCAAAATATACAATATGTACAAAAGTATCCATTACCTCAAATATTTGATAATTTAAAAATACCATCAGTTATTATTAGTAGTGCTGTCATCATCATCATCATCATCACTGTCACTATGCTTTTCACCTATACTGTGCTGAAAAACAAGATGTACAATCATACTCAGAACAGTGGTCATGGTTTCTTTTATCGAGTTGAAAAAGTCAATTTTCTTTCTCTTTTGCCCTTGATTTTAATAGTATTTGCCAAAGTAAACAAGCTCATTGATTTTGGATTTGGCTACTCATATAATGCACCCAAGTTTTTCCCATAATCAATGTGGACATTCTATTTCTCCTACTTATGGAACATTTAAAATCCTATCTCCTATTTATATGTAGCTGCCTGAGAACACGAAGGTCCTTCTTACCTGTGTGGTAAAACTTCCCTGAAAATCCAAGGTTGAAGGTAAAATTTGCAACCTGAGTGCGCAGTAAATTTTGAGTCTCTAGTAATGCCTGAAATAAATAAGAAATTAACATGATTTTAGAAAAATAAATATGAAGTTTGGGGATGCCTCTTTTGCAAATGTGTGTCGATGAGTGAAACAAAATAATATGAGCTTTCTTGTTTTGGGGGTTTTTGATGGGTACTGTTATGTAGTTTTCATATTTCAAGTATTGTAATTATTATTGTTATTATTTTTATTGAAGGATACCAATTATGAACCAGGGAAGTCCTAAGCACATTATGAGTTGTTAAGGGGCAATTCTGTAACTGCACGGCACTGAAATCATTTTTCATTTCTGTGTGAGACATTTCTTGAATTTCAGATTATTATACTTCCTTTCCTTGGGGAAAAATTTTCAGAATTGTTGGATATAGACAAGTCTTGTATTTCTTGGTAAGGAATAGGAGGAGAACTTTTGTTGGAACTGCAATTTAGTATTTTATTTAACTGTGCTACCTTCTCATCATTTTTAAAGGCATAATTATTAAGTCAAAAGCTTGGGTTTTTATTTTACAAGCTAAAGAGCAATGTATATTTTATGGGGTATTGCTTGCAAATCTAGGGCTATGAGGAAGGAAATAACACATAGGAATAGATACCCTTTATATTACTATTACTAATTCTGTTAAAAAATCCTTTAAATTTGACAAACATTTCCCTCATTTCTAGATTTGGAACTTTACTATGTTAATTTCTTATTTGTAGATAGGATAAGAACACACTGATAATAATTAGTTAGAATTAGTCATGTAAGTTTTCTGCCAATCCTTTTATGGTTATATTCCTATGTCAACCTATATATTAATAACATAATTCAGAGCTCTTCTGTCCTTGGACTTTTTAGTTTGCTTATTGGTCTGATTATTGATCCAGAATGTTTTTCTATGTTTTCCAGTGGATTTTCTTAAAAGGACTTACTTAGTTTTGACAAAAATGAGAAACTCATTGCAAACTAGGATATTAATGAGTTTTGGTTACTCCTGTCCATCTGTTAAGGTGAATAAAGGGCCAGACATTTAGACAATTTTTTTTGCATTAGTCGTGGTGGCTAAGAATTTGCTTCAAAGACTTGTGAACCTATTTATTCCTTTAGAATTAAAAGGGTCTCCTGCAAATTGGTTTAATTTACAAAAAAAGTAAGAATGAAATTACCAAATAGTCAAAATGTTGATAAACAATATAGTCAGTGGTTATCCAAGATTGCAATTATGCTGGGTGTAATCAGGGTGTAATCATGGCCAATCTTACTTAAATATTATCAGTTAAACAGACAAAGAAAGAACAGACCCTCTAGCTTAACTTAGTTCAGTGAAATATTAAAATAAATTTTTAGAAAGATCAAATATTAAAAAGAGGGTGGGGTTAAAATGTCTATTGAACTAGTGAGCTTATTGGTAAATGTGTAATATAGCCTTAAAATAAGAATATGAAGCATTATTTCTCTTCGTGACTTCCTTTTTCTGGCTCTTTTGCTTTATTCAATGTATAATTTCTGAGCCTCCTTATTTTGAAATATATACATTTTTTGATTTGTCCCTTCCCCTGTTCTCTTCACCAGCCCGATTCCATCCACTCAGTGTTTTTCCTCTGAGTTATCAAAGTCATTCTTAATTCAGCATTGATTTATCCTTTGTCTATTCTTAAATTCCCCCCAAAAATATTTGTTGTAGGTGAATACAGTGTTGAATTTAATAAGTACGGCCCTTGTGAACTTGGACCTTACTGCCTAGAGAGGGAGAGAGAGATTCAATAGACGGGCACACAAACATGTAATTATAGTTCTTGATAAGTGCTGCAGAAGAAATCTAGATCATGCCGTGGTCGACATGAGTGGGGACTTTAGACTGGGGAAGTGGGTCCAGATCATCTGGAGCTTTCTTAGGGACAAACTAATAAAGATCGAGTAATCCATTTTCCCCCAATCAACTTGACACCACCTTAGGCAGTCCCTCATTCTCTTTTTCTTGGGCTCTTAAAATGTCATAGCCTCCAAGAGTGTTCCCATCTTCCATTTTTATCTGTCCCTACAGTTGCAGGTCTGACACCCTGCAGTCATGCTAACATCCCAAAGGTGGTAAGTGCATTGCACCTTTGGGGGCCAGGAGGCTCTTCAGTGCATGACTTAATTTTGTCAGTCTTTTCATATCTCTAATCTCTTCCTTTATCGGTGAAGTAAAGCAATGGTGAATACTTATTTCATTGCATTATTGTGAGAATTACACTGGATAAAGTATGCAAAGTGTGCAGCTGAGTTTCTGATGTAGAGCAAGAGCTGAATAAATACTGAGCCCTGAGTGGATCATTATCTCCCTGTCAGTGAGGTACCCTTACTGCCTCCATATGCATCACTATTTTCCCCAAATCACCATGTTATCCAGTTACATTGAACTATCCCCCACTTCCGACTTTTCTGCATGACATTTCTCTGGCCTCCCTTTGCCTAGAAAACCTCCCCAGCTCCAAATCCCATTCCTCAAACCTCACCCATTCTCTGAATCTCTGCCCAAATGCCATGTTTTGGTATAAAGCCTTTTCTGATATCTCAAAGGTTTTTCTTTTCTCATCTCTCAGAGTAGGTTTCTAAATTATTTTCTTAAGACTTGCATCACTTTCCACTTAATAGTGCATCAACTCTTATTTCTCTCTGTAGTCCATAAGCACCCACAGGTCCATCAAACATTACTCATTTTTGTGTATCTCTTGGTGCTAAATGTGTCTTCATATATGTATTGAAGTATTAAAAGTATGATAAAAGTACATATTAATGCAGAGCAATAAATTGGATCAGTTTATCTTATTTTTATTAGCAACATTTTTCCAATGGTAAAATGATAAACATGGTTCATGGGCCATACCAGAAAATGATGTAAGACCAACATAGATAGGAGCTTGCATTTTGCCACGCGTTTTATAACACAGATGTTTTATAAACTTGTATTATAGATGCCCTACTAAGACAAGCTCACAGAGACAAGGCAAATGGATTTTCTTACACTGGTGCTAATTATCTATATGAAGAATTCAACAGATCTTTCTATTATTGAAATAAATAGACTTATCTAGTCACAGAGTCCCAACATATCATTTTGACTGATGTGGGAGTAAGAATGACAAATTCTATAAGTAAAAACAAAACAAATGAATTAAAATAAAAGCAAATCTTAAGAGGTTTCAAGGCTCCCTAGTTCAGTGTAAGTAAATGGTCTTTTGTTTTCAAAATTCAGAGAAAGGAAGTTTTCATATCTTTCAATAATGAAAGAAGAGAGATACAAATAATAATGAATATATACCAAATCAATTCAATTTTTAAAAGTAAAAATTGGAAATACATTTAAAATAGTAAAGTGCTAAACTATAAAAATGAAGGAAAAAAGTAGAAAACCTCAAGAATTGAAATACAGGAAAAATTTAAAATGTCAGAAAAACACTAGCAAGGAATAATATGAATAAATGAATATAAAGTTAAGAATCAATTAATCATAATGAAACTAAAAAAACCCTCTTATTTAGGAAAGACTTGTTAATGAGCTAGAAATAAACTGTGTCACTTTGAGTTAAAAATCAAATATTAAAGCTTAAAATATAGCATGCAGGTGTAAATATACTTTTTTGTACTGAATATATTGTTGGGAAACTCTAACTGTTAAAAACATATGTAAAATAAAATATACTTAAGTTTTGGACAATAAACATCATTTATTGTCTTAAATGGTATTCAAGTCATAAAAACAATTTAAATGGCTTTGAATTTTTCCTAAGACTGTTTATACACTAAATAACTTGATTGGTTATTAAAGGGAATAAATATATAACTTATTTTTACAGGCAAAAATTTGTTATTTTAATAAGCATTAATTGCATTAATTCAATGTTCTCATAATTAATTCCTCAGTATTTAAGAAAGCAAGTCCAACTTTGCCCCAATATAACTCAATACTGTTAAAGAGAGCAATGGTGTTCAAACATTACTGTGCATAAAATTTTCTAGAGGAGATTGCTAAAATTTTCAATTCTGGGAGCCCACTTGAAAAGATATTATTTAGTCTGTCTATAATAGGGCCCAGAAATGTGCATTTTGTAACACATTATTAGCTGGTTCTAATAAATGTTAAGTGTTTCCAAGTCACACATATGCAATGAATCACCAGAATGTTTGCCAAATACCTATTCTCAAACTCATCCTCTGGGATTCTGAATTGGGGGTATAGGATGGAGCCTAAAAATATATTTTTAACAGTGATTCCTTTAGCTTCAAACTGGAGATTATTACCATCAAGACATGTGGGGAAATATGTTGCATATGTCTTAAACCATTCTGATATTTATATTGTTAATATCAGTCTAATCCATTTCCTAAGTGTATTTAATAAGTCATGTACATGTTTATATTTTGAAATAGCCTTATATTTTCAAAGTTTCAAATCAAATGTCTCAGAGTGATAGTGTTTGTTTTATTATACTCAAAAACTCAAAAAAAAAAAAACCCCTATCTTATTTATCTCAACTAGATCCTGCTATGGGAATCAGAGGAGATTGCTTATATTATCATTTTCCAGGTAGAAAAAATTGCTTAATGGAAAGATTAAATAACGCAACGAGAAGGCCAAATTGACCATGCTTGCTTTAACACTTGGTCCAATCTTAATAACCTTGGGCCTCTCTACAGAGAGTTTGTATGGCTGCCCAGGATGGAATGGAGTCAGGACTCCATGAACTTTGTCAAGGTACAGATGAAGATGAATAAGGCTGACTCAGCATGAAAGTATGACGCTTTTGAAGTTTAACTTTGATAATTTCTGCCTCTCTTCTTACTCATCTTTCTCTTTAGAAGCAATCCCCATTCCCTCTTTTTTGATAAACTTTTACTTCTACTCAATGAGGAAATGGATATAATTTGTAAATCCACAAAAACTTATACCCACATGTAAATCTTGTAAGTAATTTCACATTAAACAGTTTAGCTCTGATTGTGGAATGGATGAGTTAATGAATGAAGAATGAATGAAT